TAGGATATACACTAGAAATATGACATATTTTGATTTCAGTAAATTTTAGACTCATGATCTGCTTTTGATTACTTTATCTTTATATCATAAAATAGTGACTATATAGCAACAACAAAATTCTCAGTTGTATTGAAAAATGTCACTCCCTTCATTGTTGGAATAGAAAGCAGAAATGCTTAGCTTGCTGATTTGACTAAGCTGAATCTCTATAAATTAGTAAGTGAAAATAGTGCCTATATTCTTAAGGATAGAAAAAAAAAGTAGATTAAGCCCACGAATAACATTTAGTGTTTAAGTAGCTATACAACAAAGTGATTTTAAATTTAATTTGAAGTATGTTTTTCTTTCAAAGGAATGCTCTAAAACATACAGACTTTTCACCTATACCTAAGTAATCTTTTATTCTGAACTGGTAAAATTTATATAAATACGTTTTTGCTAGATTTAAGCAAAATGTTGCTTTTCTGTATAATGATATTCAAGTGTTTGACTGTTACTTAAAATACCCCAACATCTCCTAAACTTAGTAGGGTAGTTCTACCTAGCACAAGTCAGAAAAAAAAAATTGTTGTAGTAATTATTTAAAACGGCCTCTGGCACATGCCGAGTATCTAAGATGCAGCAGCTCTGCCTAGCCCAGCTGCAATGTTTCTCGGCCTGAGGCCATGTGAGTGCTGCAGCTCGAACCTGCCTGCCAGAAACACCAGCCCCACCACCCACTAGATGCCAGCGTGAGAGATGGCTCTGACAATCTTCCATGCTGTCTCTGCAAGGCAGGGCATTGCCCAGACCATCCCGTCATCGATGTGGGCCCAGTAAGAGAATGAGACTCTAATTCTTATAGATTACAAAGATTACAAAGATTCTTAGATTCTTTGATTACAAAGGCTTTATATGTTTGATAATGATTAATAACAAGATGCCCATACAAAGAGAGCTGTATCCTAATTAGCTAACCTAATTATAAGTTTATAAGTTGTTCCCCGTGAGTGCTCTCCATACTTGTGTGGTTCTCCATCCTCCTACATCTCTGCCCTCTCTAGTTCCTCCTCTTCCTTTTTCTCCTCCCCTCCTTACTCCACCTCTTCCTCTCCTAACTCCTCCCACCTTAGCTCCTCCTACACAAATGGGAAGTCAAACTGACAAATAGTAGAGAAGACGCCCTTCCTCCCAACTCTACTCAGAACTGCTAGAATGCGTAAATTCAGTAAAATTGTGGTGTATGATATTTACATACAAACCCAGCACAGTTTCTACATGACAGTAATGAATTATCTGAAGAGAAATTAAGAAAGCAAGTTGGTTTACTGCAGTGATGACATTCTGACTGTTTCTGCAGCTGTTATTGAGCTGAGAAGTCATCATTCTTAGACTGAGTAAATGTCACCAGTTTAGAAAGCCCATGTCTCTGAGTGCAGTCATTCTCTTGAGGCTTGTTACTTGACTATTTTAGATCAATTCTCATCAGAGGTAACGTATAATCATACTGAGGCAAAACTTATAGGAAAAACCAACTCCAGATTTAAATAAAAACTGGTATTTATGTGAATATCTATATGAAGCAAAGTTAAAGATGTTTACCTTATCATATTCCATCTGATGTTGACTACTACCTTTCCTATATCAATAAGAAATTAAATAAAACTTATCACAACAATGAATAGATTTCCAGTTACAAACATTATTCACTTAAGCTTTTATTAGACAAAATTAACATCATATAACAAAATAAACCATTTCCCAATTTACATACATAAATAGGCAAGTTAATATATAACTCAAACATTAATAAGGGCAGTCTTTTACAATTATGTCTTAAAAGAAGAAATAAGGATCTAGTTCTTCTCTATATTCTAAATAATTAGATGAGTTAATCTACAAAAAGAAAAACATTAAAAACTGATTGTAATTAATGCATTACATATATTATACTTCTTTAAGTTTACTGAATTCTAACATTCAGATTTATAAAAATAAGAACAGTATCATTTGATCAGATTTACTTGTGATCATTGCAATTTCAGCTGTGTTTCCAGTCAGACAGCAGAGGTAGCCATAAAGGACACCTGGAGAAAGAGGCTCTGAAGGCATTCCTCTACCAATCCCTAGCAATAATGTGTATATACCTATCCCTGGTATCTGTGTGGAACTGGCTTCAGGACCCAGAGGGAAAAATGGATGAATATGCTTAGGTCCCTTTAAAAAGTAGAACAGGATTTGAGTATACTACTCCACAATAATCTTCAGGTACACTTTAAACCCTCTCAGCTTACTTATAATACCTAGAAATATGTAAATGGTGGTTATACTATATGGCTTATGGGATGGAAACACACTAAACATGCTTGTTATATACAAATAGATTTTTGTTCCTGAGTATTTTGATCCTTAGTTGGTTGAATATTTGGTTGTGGGAACCAGAGGAGTAACTACGGTTATTTATATAATTATCAACTAGTAAGTAAGTCTTATGAAAAGATATTCCAGTCATTTGTTAAACAGCAATTCTTTAACATTAAAGACAGCATCTGTCTAATGTTAAGTTCTAACTGTCTACTGATGGGGTGGAGATGTACTAGAAACAGCAGGAGCTAGAGTGAGCAGTTCGCTGTGAAAACTGTAACATAAGGAATGAAGAAAACATATGCTATAAAACTCTATGTATTAATAATTCAGCTTTAATGTCATAGCAAAGCAAAGAAAAAATCTATAGGTTATATTTCTCCTTATTCCAATGGAGATGTATAATATTAAAATATTACTATATTAAGTTATTCTTACAATTTATCTGGAAAAATCAGACTATTATTCTCATAATTTTTATGGCCTAATATTTTTCTGACAAATAGAAAATTTTAATTTAATAAGGTTAGTAGAACTCCTGAAAAAGGTTTCATTCTAAAAGTATTATTTTAAAAGCAAGTTTTAAAAAAGCTCTGTGTGTATCTGCAAACATTCCAGAGTAAGAGGGAGACTGAATGTGATATGAGGTGGGTTTGAATGTCAGAGCAACCTTGCCTGCTGACCTTTGCTTCCCTCAATGTTTGAGACAGATGTCTTATTTGCTGCTGTGTACAGCAGGCTAACAGGCTCACAAACTTCTGGGCTCTGTCCTACCTACATTTTCTCTAGCTCACTGGAGGAGCCATGGGACAGAACACGTGTGCTCCTGAGCTCGTGTTTATGTGAGGTCTAGGTGTTCAGACCCAGGTCCTCACGCTTGCACAGCAAGAGCCTCCCTCACATATCAGGCACTCTCACCCTAAAACTGGTTCGTCTCTGCTATGTATTTTATGATAAAATCTAGAACTTACTTGTTTCTGAATGTCTTTATGCTATAAAGACTGGCATGCATTATTTGTTAGCGTTACTCAAGTGATTCTGTAGAACTAAGAAATAACAGTTGTGCATAATTATGTAGACTAGTTGTTTTCTCTATTTTAATTATAAATATTTATTTCAGTCTATTTCTCCTATTTTCACTTTTACAAAAAACTTAGAACTTACCAATTTGTAACCACATGACAGCTATGGATCACTAATATTTTCTTTTTAAACCAATAGCCACTGTAAAAGTGTAAGACATTCAAATGAGAATATGACTGAAAAATATAATGTTCTTTAAAAATATTTATTTATCTCTAGTTTTGAAGTCATATGTAAATTTTCTGTATTACTTACAGTAAAATTAAATTAAAATATTAAAAGGAAAATACTTCTGAGTATTAACATTATCCTTTCTCAGTCATTCAGTAGTCTCTGGTGAACATTTATTTTAACCACTGAGAAACAATGGTTTTCCTCATAGATAAGAGCAGTTGTCAAAATTTATCAAACTACCTGTTGTTTCTAGTCTTTAATTCAGCAGGACAAACCAGAGGCATTAAACATGCAAAAGTACTCAGCACCACAGGCATCCAAGTCTTCAAATGATGACACTGATGGATGCTCTGCACAAAGCCACTCTTTAATAGACCATAGCTAACAGAAATCTAAAAACGTACAAAATAACCTGTTACTTAAACAAGTTTGTGTTAACAAGAAACTTGAGAAGTGAGTTTGATCACTAGAAGCCAGTCAGAATTTGAATATTAAACTTCACTGAAGAGTCCAGAAATGAAACACATTCACTTACTGTCCTTTAGGCCTGAACTTTTGTTGCCAGATATACCTAACATGTACATACACCTAAGTCTTTGGACCCAGAATACCAGGAAAACTTACCTGAACATTACCTACTTTTTGTAATGTAATACTATCATTTTCTCTACTGTGAAACAAAAACCTAAAAGACCATCCCATTAAAATTCCAATTGCAGTTAGAAATGCAGACAACTACATCAGTAATGTTACTGACACAACCTGTCTTGTCAGATGTTTTCTCTGTAAGGTATTATCCATTGTAGAAAAATAGAAATATATTTCAAGTCTGGGAAAGAGGTCCATCTAAAACCATTTGCTCAAATACTTTCAGCAAGCAAAATGAAACTTCTTTTGTATTTAAAGTTAAATATAAAATTACAACAGGATATGTTTCCCATTTCTCAAATATTTGGTACTCTTGAAAATCTCTTAAGTCACCATGATGCCAATTTACTTATACTTTACCACAACTTGATTAGAATAATGCAGAAAAAAATAGTAAATTCAATTGTCCTTATTATTTTCAAAAAGAAGGAGACTTTAGAAGTCATAATTATGGCCGAGATGTATTTGATTTTCTGTTGTGTGTCAATATGTTGGCTTAGCCATACATGTGATTTTACTTTCTAAAACTTTAGTGTAAAAATGTAGATATATATGTCCATAACATTGTAAATATTATTTAAATACTGTCCATAAATTATATGCTAATCTTTTATTACTTGGTATACTAAAGAAGTAGATTTTAAAGAGTTTGGTTTTCCTGTTTTATTGCAATCCCCTGTATACTCTAAACTTTATATATATATATATATATATATATATATATATATATATATATGCATGCATGCGTTTTGTAAATTTGTTTTTCCTATTAGAACAAAATAATATGTACCTAGACCAAATTTATAAACAATCCATAAGTTTCTTAATAAATAGGAATGGTGAGAAAACAAAAAAAGGAAAAATGAATCTTTTAAGAAAGTAAAAATGAAATAACTGATAAAGGTTACAGTAGCAAGCACACATTGATTTTTGACAGTTTTCTTTACATAACTCAAAACACAGTGCATTGAGTGAAGCTAGGAAACTTGATAAACCGTAAGTGATGCATCATGAAGCAGGCAGCTGCTGATCCAATGCATATGCCATTCTTTCCTTACTGTATTTTTGAGACCACTTTCGAGTTAGTTCTAGATAAAGACTTGGCTTATGAGGCCGGTAGTCCAGGTATACCATGTTAGCAGTTCTTTTGGGGACAGCCTTTTCAATTTGAGTTCCTTCATGCCACTCATTGAAAGAGGTGATGGAAATTAAACTGGGGTGGGTCTGGAGTGCAGCACTTAGACCAACTTCATAATACTTCCCATTGACTCTGTTCCGGGTGTTCTGAGTGTTCCATGGACGGATGCTTGTATCTATGTATCCTGGGCCTACACTCGGGATAAATATCAAGTTGTTCTTTTCACAAAATGATTTCAGGTTATTCCAATTCTGATGAGATGAGCCATATGTAAAGCCATTTGTGGCAAAATATGTATAAATTCCATCAAAACCACTTTGAAGAATATCATATTTATGCTTTTCTTCTACTAGAAGTGCAATAAACAATCCATCATAAGGAGAACTGCGAACACTCTGAGATCCTGAGGGTGTTAACAGATTGGCCCATGTTTCAGGCTTTGTGATATAAGAATCATAGACATAAAATATGGGCAGAGAACGCCCAGTCCTCGTCTTGTACCTATAAAAGGCTGGATGGTTTCCATATCTACAATAAAGATACATTAAAAAGTGAGACGACAACTCATAGAAAATGTCACAATAAAACTGTTTACCAAAGTGAAACTGTCTGTGAAGCTTGAGCATATAGTTAGCAATCTTCATTGAGTCACTTTTTAAGTATAATAATGCAAACATATTTTTAATTTTATACATTATGAGACACTGGGTATACTACCAGACAGGAGGTTAATCATCTCAACTATCTCAAAGTTAACAAATGGTGACTAATGCCATAGAAAACCTATTATGATTTGCAGGAACAAAGAGACTGGTTTAGCTTATCTGTGACAGGTGGCCATTTGATGCTGAGATAATACTTTATAAGAAGATAACATACCTCAGAGAATCTTATCAGTAAAATATTACCAGAATGAAACTATTAACAAAATTCTTTAGTGACCCCATATGCAAATGAAGACATATGCAAACACTGCTATAAACTCAGTTCACATTTCATCTGCATATTCTTTTAAAAGACAAAATGTACATTCATAAGATTTTTAAAACATAAACTGATTATAAATGGAAATGATAAACACCCTGAAAAGCATATAAAATAGTGAAAGTACCAACCTTTATTCATCAAAAAGTGAACTGTAAGAACCTTGTGAATGTTCTTCAGTTTACTTGTGGTAAATTTATCAGAAATGACAGCTTATAAACCAACTCTCAGACATCATTTAAATGTATTTGCAACAGTAATTATCACCAGATTATACAGTATAACTATGAACGCAGAAGAAACTCACTTGTCTATAATATACTTGACATTTTGATGCATGTTTTGATCATCTCGATTGCTATATGGCTCTATGTGAAAAGTGACCTAAAAAAGAAAAAAATCAATTATATGTAAGTAGAGCATGTCAAATGCATGAGCTCACTTAGCCTTCGCTACCACACTGGGTTGTCACTGACTCCATTTTCTTAATAAAAAAGTAAGTAGCATAGGTCTAGTAAGTTGCCAATAGTCCTGAGTTTGTTGAATACAATGTAAGGTATTTGACTAAAAGTTTTTCAAGCATGATATTTTTTATGAAGTAGATTGCAAAAGACTATACTCTATATTCTGTCATCGTTTTCTTTAAAATAAGAATAGGCCAAAATTGCCCAGGTTTCAAAATAATATAAATTATTTTCTTTCGTATTTGACCACTACATTAATACATAGAATTGCATATTTTATTAGATCATAATTTAATATCATTAAAAGGGTATCCTGTGAATATGTATTTATTCTTTTATTGTTTAAAAGATAATTTATATAAAAGCACTTAGACAATATCTGAAATTTTCACAGAGCACAGAGATTTTCATATTGCTACTGCTAAGGCCCATAAGTCACTATTATAGTAGCAGAATGCAGAAACTAAAGCTTTTTTTAAATATCATGCACAGATTTAAAATTTCTACAAAAAAATATTAGTTGTACATAATCAACTTTCTGGAATTATGTTAAATAATAAACAACTTGGTTACATGATCTCTAACTAGTAAGATATACAGTATAAGGAACAAAGTGCTTTAAATAATAATCATAAAAATTATTCTTAAGTTCACTGATTTATCCAGAGCAGGTACATTTTATTGCCAATCTAATAGCATTATTGTTTGAATTTTACATTTTAAGTGTCACAATGCCTAATGGACTAAAGCCATGTTACTGTAGCTTAAATCTTGTTTTTTTTTTTTTTTCAAATGTGTAATTAAAGCAAATACAGTTTTCATTAATTAGTTTTCATAGAATTAATTTTAAATCAGGTTATCTGTAAATCAATCATTCTCTCCTTAGGAGAGCACTATGATGGAAGGGTTTGTCAGTAATGAACTCAGGACAACTCATTCTTGAAATTTGCTTTTGAAGCTGCTCCTTCACTGAGTGCAGATCGAGGCACCTCAGTAAATTCAGTTATACATTTATAACTTCTCAACTAATTAATTATATATTCTGAATTAGTAACAGGATGTGGTCACTATTTTTCTCTTCCTTTCAGTAAAATATATTATACTAACAGTGATATAAAATCTAAAATGACAGAATTTGACATATAAAATTAAATGTTGGCATTACAGATCTCCCGGAGACTGGACCACCAACCAAAGAGTACACATGGAGGGATCCATGGCTCCGGCAGTTTATGTGGCAAAGGATGGCCTTGTTGGACATCAGTGGGAAGAGAGGCCCTTGGTCCTGTTGGGGTTTGATGCCCCAATGTAGGAGGATGCCAGGTGGGGATGGCAGGAGTGGGTGGGTGGGGAGCACCCTCATAGAGGCAGGGGAAGGGGGAACAGGATAGGGGGGTTCCAGAGGGGAGACCCGGAGAGGAGATAACATGTGAAATATAAATAAAGAAAATATCCAATGAAAGAGAGAGAGAGAGAGAGAGAGAGGAGGGAGGAGGAA